AAAATGTTTTATTATTATTATTGTTATGCCTATTAATAATTTATTTCATTTATTGCCTTTTGCACCTTGAAGTTGAATATAACTGTCCAAAAATAAATGAGCATTGAGGCACTGTGCGGCGCCTGCTTATCATGCAGGTCAATGGTTTTTTGGATTACTAGTTTTTTCTTCGTATTTTTCTTTATGCATTTGTTTTTGTTTTTTTGGAGTGGGCTATCAAATTATTGACTGCTTTATATGCGGAACGTTGCGGAGTGGTCTAGAATTGTTGCAGCTCCGTTGACACGGGGCCAGCAACGGGTATAAAAGCAAAAGCTCCATATACGATCGACAACAAAGCTTAACAGCAACTAAGACGATCATGGCACGCTATCAGCTCACTAGCTCCCTGCTGCTCCTGGCCATCCTGGTGGCTCACGTATCCGCTGAGGCGCCGCGGCGTTTACGTTTGAGTCGACAGCGCCAGGCGTTTGCCAGGCAGGAGGTTCAGCCCACGCCTTACCCGTCTGCGGATGAGCTGAAGCCGGAGGAGCCGGCACTCATCTATGGCCCACCACCGTCCACGGATGTGAATGAGCTGCCCGCCGAAGAGGAGCCGCCAGCAAACAGCTTCCAGCCCGATGCCGAAGAAGTGGAAATCGAGGAGAATTCGCTGGAGGAGGTGACCACACCAGCAGCCGTTGCTCGCCTGCGCAGCAGCCGCCAGAGATTGGCCAAGCTGCAGTTGGCCAAGGCGCAGCCCAAGCGCAAGCGTCAACGCATTGCCCGCCTGGAGGAGTTGCCCGTGGAGGCGGCAGCACCAGCCGTTCCAGTGGCTCCAGTTGCCGCCTTGCCCGCACCCCAGCTCTACTATGTGGGAGGCCAGCAGCCCTACCTGGTTGCCTACACTGCAGCTAGCCAGCAGCTGGCCTGGTAAATGATCCTGTGACTGATTGATTGATCGATTGTTATTTGCATGAAAATGTTTTGTTTGGAGTATATTAAACTGAGTTGAACTTAGCTGCATTCATGTGTTTTTTCTTTTCCAAGTCCGTTCTCTACTCCTATCTACTTTTTCAGTGGCATTTTCAGTGCTTGACACTTTTGCTCCGGTATCGACTTTTTCGCAATTCACTCGCCATTAACAAGCGCCCAAGGAGCACTTTTCATTGTTTGCATCCATTTTCATCCATTGCATATTGAAGTTGTTGAGTTTTTCTTGTACATTTTTCTGCATTTTCTCCACTTTTCCTTTGTTCTGGCTCTTTGAATGCATTTTTCATGCTTTGCCTGCTTATAAATTGTTATTTCTGTGTGTTTTTCTTTACTATTATTCCGTTTTTTGTTTGCTGCTTTTAAAAGGCGTTTAAAAGGTTTCAATACTATTGTTGTTCGTCTATTCAAGACTTATATACTAAATCGAGCATGATGCGCTTCATGCATACATAGATGGGCATATAAGTAGTATAGTTGGTGCAACTTCTGCTTTCCACAGCTGCCAATACTTATACTAGCTCAAGAATTTAAATATATAGAGTTTTCTCTGTGATAGTTATCATCTGTCTGTATTGTGCACTTGAAAGAAGTTAGAAAACATTTATACAATTTAAAGTTTAAGTTTTTTAGAAAACATCTATAAAAATAAAAGTTTACGTCCTTAACTATAATATTAGCTTTAGGCGTGGTAAATGGGTAAATTTTAATTTTCTGTATTTAAATAGAAAATAAAATTTTCTATATTTTACAGCAGGAATCTTGGTAATTAATTTAAAGTGGCATACTGGTAATATTTTCCTTTTACTATATAAGAACAAAAAACTTGTTGCATTGAATAATCTAGGGAGAGACCCATGTTTCTTAATATTCCCACTTTTCTATAGAAATCTTCTGGAGATAGCACTTAACCCAATAGAACCAAAAACTGGAAATTTTAAATACATTTAAAGGTTTTTATAATTCGAGCGAGCATTATGCAGCCAGTTTGACCCGACATTATTGCTTTTACTGGCATTATATTGCGTAAGTATAATGAAGCTGTATTAAAATAAAAGTTAATAACATTTCCTTATGTCTATGTAAAATTAAGAATATGATTCAGCCGACTAAATTTAGATATTCAGTGAAAGTTGATCCAATTTGTGTACCCTTAACAGGGATTATGCATACTGTGCAATATCGGATTTTAATGTGAATTTCAAGTAATTGAAATTAATCATAGAGGAAATTAAATTTTGGTATTCAAGTGCAATTAAAAAGTTTATGAGTAAAAAGATCATGCCAAGTAATTTTGATAAAACTATCGCTAAAGGCAACGCAAAGATATCATTGACCTACCTCTATCTTTTGATGCTATTTCTCATCAGGTTTTGTGAATAGATAAAATATTGTGGAACTTAAATGAGTATATAATAGAAACTTTGATCTGATTCATAATATATTTTATAATTGAATACAATATGGAGGGTAAAATATTTAATATAGAAGTATTGAATATAGAAATCCGACAATATTGCAGTGGATGGTACAAAAGAGGTCAACTAATTAGAAGCTAGAGTAAATTCTTATTAAAATTTCATTGGAATTCCTTCGATACATTGGACAATTGGAGTTATGTGCATAGTGGCTACATGCGACAAGAACCTGAGAAGTGAATGAGAGGGATGAAAAGGAAAATTTTATACGCCCCATACAGATGCTCTTTAAACTCAATATAGGCACGTCAAAATGAGCAGCTGAAGAATAAGTTTACTTAAAAATATTTCTAAAATATTTTACTTTATAATTCCCATGAAATTTACATTTGCATACTGCTTGAATAAATAAATATCATACGTTTGATTTAGTTTCTCTATTTTTATGTTGAATTCAAACGGGGGAAAAAAAGCTGATGAAACTCAAAATAGATACATATAACAAAAACAGTAGCAGAGAATAAATTTGAATAAATAATATTGGCATATTAACATTGTATAGGGTCTTTATAATATGCATAACGCTTTTATAAAATAATTACTTTCGCTGTTTGTTTGCCATGTGTGGGTTGAAAAGGAGAGGATGCTGATAAAACCCAAAATAGACACATTAAAATAGGCTGCAGTCCAATAAGTTTTAATAAATAATATTTATTTAATGTATGTATATAGATTTTTTTATTGCTATTGAGTGGGGGCCTTTACAGTTCCCAAGCAATTACAATTTGCATATTGCTTTTGTAATATAATTTGTATTTTATATTTCCTCTATTCATATGTCGAATCGCAATCTTATCGCTTGAAAAATCACAATTCACGATGTTGGTATTTCCTCCCGGTTTTCAAGATAATATTGCTGAGTAAGCGTATGTACACTCTCTACTCACACCCACACACGCACATAGACAGGTATATACCAATGTATGTGTGGGCATTAATTAGCCATGAGTATTGTAATTTTTTGTGTGGCTGGAAAACGAGCTTTAGCCAGCAAAGAAAGATCCCCGCGTCTCGAGTGCACCCACATTCGGCCTCGAGCTGTTCCTCAGTGCCTCGATGGCCTGGTAGTTGAGGAACCAGAACGGCTGATTATCCTGGGGCAGCTGACTCAGGTAGTTCACATAGTTCTCGTCTCCATGCGCATCGATGGGCAGAGCATTCGCCACGGGTCTGACGACACTTGGAGTGGGTGAAGGAGGAGGACTCACTCCGCTGGCGGGGGCTTGAGTGCTGCCCACAGATGGGGGACTGGCAGCAGCAGCACCACCACCAAAGCGGTTGGCCACGTCAACGGTGGCCGGCACCACACTCGATGCCACCACGGGCTCATAGCTGCTCACGGCAAACACGAGGGGCACGCCCACTGGCGGCCTCTGCGGGGCGCCGTAGGCCAAGCTGACTGTTTGCGCCTGCTGCGGCACTGCATCCGAGCCGAAGCGTGTGGCAATGTCCACGCCAGATATGTTCTCCACGGCCGTATTCTGGGCGCCGTTATACTTGTCCTTCTGGCTGAGTCCGCCTGGCGGCCGTGCGCCGGCAAAGGATGGACGTTGAGCCGAAGCGAGTTCGATTAATCCAATCAGCATTAGCACACTCAACCTCTTCCACATTTTATTTTGTTGTTATCAAAGCTCAAAGATCACAAAAACCGACTCGTTAAGCGTAGCTGCTTCACTCGCAGCGTCTGATACACTGAGCAGCCAAAAGCGCTTGCAATTATTTAAATAAGCAGCGAGATGCTGAGCTGACTCAACCCAGGCAAGAGACAGAGAGATAAGACACCGATAGAGACAGCAGCTACAACAGCAGCAGCAGAGGTCGACAGAGAGAAAGATGCCAAGCAAGTTGAAGCTGTTTCTCTTTGTGTCTTATCAAGCTGATAGAAACCCCGTTTGACCGCCCTGCGTATGTGAGGCAATATTTCTAAATTTCCCACTCTCCCTTTCTAGCTCGCTCTCTCTGTCTCTCTTCTACATAAGTTTTGAATGCATTTAATTGCTTGTAAATTGAAAATGATTAGCATGTGTGATCGAACAACCGATTCAAGCCAATAAATCTCTTTTATATGTATATATATTAACCATAGCTCAAGTCTTGTTAGAGCTGATCAATTTTACAGGGTATAAGCTATTTAATTAGTTTCAATTTAAATATTCTAATTAACAGTTTTTCTATCTTATTGTTGATAATTCCCTTCTCTACTAGGTAATTAAACTCTTATTAAAGTTGAACAATACTCTGGGCTATAAATGCTTCACTGATGATCTATTACTAGTACTAGTTATTACTAGTAATAGTAATAGTAAGCAGTTGTGCTTAGCAGCGGATTAGTAGAAAATTTTTTTATATATTTAAATATTATTTATATATAATAAATAATATATTACGACTAATAAATAAGGTTTGGCAGAAAATAATATCAATAAAATCATATTATATAAAAATGATACATAATAAATTACTAATAATATTATTGTAAATATGCTATGATTTTATTGATATTATATATAAATTTTATATTATATTGTATTATTATAAATTTTTTTTATTTTATATTAGTATTTTATTATCATTCCGAATATATTCCTCAACCATCTGTCTGTACTTACCTCCTTTAATTGCATTTTTATAGGGTAGCATTGCTTCGATTCCTGGCAAATTGAACTTGAATTTCTTGTTTACTTGCGGTTTGGGAGATACCCAGCCCAATGTAAGCAACTTCGATTTCGTCTTCATCTTCGTCAGCATCAGCAGCATCGTCATGTTTTTATGACGCGTACGCATGCGCTCCTTAACCGGTTACCTGGCTTGGCCCGGCCCAGCCCCGCATTTGGTTTTGGCTCTGAGCGTGGCAGCAATGCCATCCAAACCCCCTTTAGTGATTCATCAGGCAGACAGAATGTCTGAGCACGATCTGTGTGAGCTTTTGTTGTGTTTCCTGAACACTTTATTTGCAATTCGCTTACAATCAATGGTAAATTTCAAATGCTGAATAGTTTGTATGTGTATGCGTATGTTTATGTGTGTGAGTGTGTGTGAGTTGCTGGTATGCCGTCATCAGGGAGCTTCGTTGAATCGTCATGGATTTTTGGGTTATGCAGCAGCTGGCATCTGGCTAAATGCGACTGCCCGGTCCAGGCAGCTCGCCAGCAGATGAGCTGGGCGCATCTAGGCGCGTCGCACCACAGAGCGGGCAGCGCTCAGCTTGGCCGGGCGGGCTGCGGCGGCGGCGGCGGCAGCGCGACGATAGGCCACAGGCTGGGCGCGCCGGAGCTTGGCGGCGCGTCTGGCAGCCACGAGGCGTGCCTGCTCGGCGGGCACATCGGCGGCGGCGTCAGCGGCTGGCAGGTCGTTACCAGTGACATCGGGCGGGCCGTAGACCTCATCGGGCACGGCATTGGGCGCTGCGTCGGGCGGGCCGTAGACGGCATCGGGCGTGGGCTCGGCGGCGGCTGGGGCGGCTGCCTCATCGAAGGGCACCTCTGGCTTCAGTTCGTCGGCTGAAGGATATGGCGTGACGGCATCCGGGTCCGCTGGCGCCAGCTCCTGGCGTGCAAAGTAGCGGGAGCGTCCACGGCTCAGGCGCTGCACCTGGCGCTGGCGCTGCACCTGGCACTCGCTGACGGCCAGCAGGCAGGCGGCGATCACAATCAAGACTTGGAACTTGGCCATATCGATGAGTTGCTGGATCTCTGTGTGCTTGTGGGTGGGTGTGTGTGTGGTTCTAGGAAGCTGAAGCCGACGACTGCTGCAGTTGGCAGCCAAGCGCGGCGCTTTTATAGCTAGGAGAGATGTGGAAACAGTGGAATCGGCTGACCATGTTCCAGCCCCACTCGAATCTGTTTAGTGTGCGGTGCGTCGCATGGTCCAAGCATGGACATCCTTTTTTGGCGCTCTCTCTGACGTCGGCGGCTCCATTGTGAGCGGCCGATCGGCGGGTTTATGTGCGTGCGACGTGACAAGAAAGAACTAGCAGAAGAGCTGGAAGTTCGAATTTATAGTTCCGCCATTAATCAATCCAAAACCGGAGCGAGCACTATTCAATGGAATAACACTCGGAACGTCTACAGCTGCGGCGCTACCAATGAGTGTTGTGTTCTAGTTTATGTCAAAATAAATCAGCCTTCAGAAATTCTTAAGTGTGCCACTTATATAAAAGTGAGCGATAAAACTTTTAGAAGGTGTAACTTTTCATTCTTATGAATAATAAAATTAAATTTAAATTAAATTAACAATAAAGACAAATAAATAAACAAATACTCCAAATATTCCGTATATTAGATTATCCATGGCATCAGATAAAACTAAAAGAATATGCTGGACAGGCGTTTATAGCTCGAATATTCATTTAACGATTCTGTTATCAATTCGAAAACTTATGATACCCAACTAAACCTCAGAAATAATAATAATATAAGTAAGTAGTAATAATAACAATGCAGGTCACTTTAGATGATGTATTAAAGCATCTGATATTATCTACTGTGTTGTGATTTCATCTATCAGATTATAATATTATATATTTATCAGAATATATAATACTTCAGGCTAATACTAACTTAGTAGCCAAGAATGCCTAAATGAGATTCGGATTGGAATCAGATCAAGCAAAAACATTCGGGAAAAATCAAATCAATTATCGATCTGGTTGTATGTAAATACCTCCAGTTACTCATGGGTTGCCGATGTGGTTATGTGTAGGCCGATAGGTAAGTGGGATCGAACAACAATATATTTAAAGAGGAATCTAGCCATGCAGTTTTAGAATCTAAACTATGATGTATATCCTTGACTCTCCAAAGGGAAATAGACTCTAGACTGTATGTAGATGCCGCCAGTCACGCATGGAACACCCAAGTGTCTAACTATGGCCCGATAGGTTAGTTCGATCGTTATCAGAGGACGTGACGCGCTGCAATAGTTAGTTAATTGCTCATAGCCGCCCTTGGGGCTCACCTCAGTGGCAGTCGTTGATCGCATAATATCGATTATAAGTGTTTAATAAATATTCTAACACTCAAGCCCAGACATAATGCAATTGGCGACAAGTTTTCGCTTTCAATTGATGTGGGCAGCTCGTCAATGGTTTGGCCGGTTGGGCAGCGCCTTAGAGTTTCCGATCACGTAGGAAACGCATTTTATTTCCATAGAACATGGCGACGATTCGGACGTGGTGGACGTGGATAAGCAGTCAAACACCAGAAGCAAAGCAAATGCAAAATATTCAAGCAAATATACATATAAGCATATATCTATATATATTTCGTTCGGTGTGTATAAAATATAAGTAATAAAATAAATCAATAAATGTGATAGCCGTGCGCCTAATGATGTTCCACGTATGCATATGTCCCGATGTTACGACTCGACATGGAACGGAACGAGATGAGACGACTCTCGCTTTCATTGCCAGTTGAACAGACCCGAGACCTGAGACCTTAGACAGCTCGAGAACATTGTATAAAAACAGCAGACGCATCCGCAGCTGGAATCAGTTGGAATATATCGCCTCACTTACGATAGACCTACAGCACAGTATGCAGTGGATGTTTGCTCTGGTTCTCTGCCTGTGGGCATCGGGAATCGCCGAGACGCGTCAGATACGCATCAATCGGTATGCGGTCAGCGTTCAGGAGGATGACGTACAGCAGGCGGTGGTGAGAGAACTGAAGCCCACGCCCACGCCCGCGCCCGCACCAACGCCCACACCATATCCAGCGGCTGGCTTTAGGCCGGAGGGACGCGCCTTTTGGCTGCCGGGCGAAGCCGATGCCGCGGTGCAGCCCACTGCGGGCTCTGACTTGGGCACAACTACAACGGAATTGCCGCTGGATGACGCGACAGCCAGCACCACGGAAGCTCTCGATTTGAGTACGACAACAACAGTGGACTCGCTAGATGCCACCACCACGGCTGCACCCATTGAAGCCCGCTCAGGCCGCGCCTTTGCCGGCGCCCCCTATCCAGCCGCCGGCTATCGACCCAGTCGCGCATTCCTGCTGCCCACAGAGCTGAAGCAGCAGCAACAGCAGCAATTAGATGCTGGCAATGCAACCGAGTCAGCTGAAGCGGACGACAGCAATGCCAATCATCCAGTGTGTGGCGTCAGCACGAATCCGCTGAAGCCCACGCCAGAGCCTGGCTCCAAGGCTGAGCCCGATGCCGAAAACGTGCTCTTCACCGCCAGCCTGGGTCCAGCCGTGCTGGTGGCCAGAGCACCTGCATCCAGTGTTGTGCCTGTGGCCATTCCACTGCGCTCTCAGCCGCTGATCCAGGCGCCCAGGCGAGGATTTGTCTACACCACGCACGTGGAGCAGCGCTGGTGAGCTGGCCTCGACTGCATCTCTCGTATTATTACATTGTTAAACAGATTAGTCTTAAGAACTCCATGTTGTGTTTTGTATTTCAGTCAAGGTGAATAAATATTCGAATTCATCTGTATTTTATAAATGTCTATGAATTCATACATTGCAAGCAATAAATAAATAAATATATTTTTAAGTACATGAGAATCGAGTAGCAGAGAACTATTTGATGGAAGCAGGAAATTCATAAAAGAAACCACTTTCAGCATGTACATTCGCAATTTTGTACACATTGAGTACAAAGAGCGATCAAGCAAGATGAGACTTATATGAGATTATTTGATTGCAGTAGCTCTTTAATTAATTGATATTTCATACATCTGCATTCAATAAGACTAAAGGTGTCAATTTAATTAATTCATGCTTCATTGTTAATTCTCAACTGGAGCTGCATCATGAAGGCTTTTGTGGGAGATGAATTTGACAAGCTGAAGCGTAAGAGCGGTATTTTAGATCTTGAGGGAACACGTGGACAGAGATACGAAAGCGATATATGAGGTGATGCAAATATACTTGGCGTTACAATCAACATTGAAAAAGATCCAGAAAAGTCTCGAGACAATATTTTGTAGTAGGAGTACCAATAATACACATTGAATTGAGTCATACATTTGCTTCAGAATGACTCCAGTCACAAGAGCTTAAAAAAATCATAAACAAGTTAATATGAGAAATGCCTCTTCCCTATATATAAATGTTCTCAACCCTCCGAAAAGTAGAGTTGTTTAGGAATGTATTTTCTATGCCTAAATTCCTCTCTATTAGTTGTTTAGTTTCAAGTTCCATGTTTATCTGATCTATTGCTTCTTTAATCTCCCAAAAGTATTTTCTATTTGCATTCCTCACTGTTTGCTGTTTTCTCCCACTCCTCGTGTATGCAATGCTCTAATTCAAATGCTAAAGCTGCTTCTATATCAGTTATCCATCATTTTTATTAAAATTTCTTCTTAAAACTAAATTAGAACTCGTAACACTTTCGATATTCGGTATTGAACATAAAAACAAAGCTTTAACTGGAGCACAGTGCGGGGGGAAGGGCCTGTCCGGCCATCGATAGTCAACGCAAATTGTGCACGTAATTAACAATCAGTGGATCATCGAGGCTGGTGGGCACGATTTCCACAGAATGCACCACCGGCTGCAAGTGGACGTCGCTGTCGATGTGCGTGAAGCTGCCCAGCTGCAGTTCGTCATGGGTGGATGAGCTGGTGAGGTCCGACAGGTCGGTTAAGCTGCCATCCAGCAGCACGTAGTCGGCCTCCGGCTCGACGAGGGCCAGCTCAATGGCCACATTGTTGGCCGAGGGGGCCTGCGGCTGTTCGGCAATCGCAATTGTGGTGTTGTCTGTGGCCACAGCCACGGCTACGTTGGGCTGGACCGCGTCCTCGGAGGATATTGTCGCATTGATGGCGAATAGTTTAGTTGTCTTTTGCTCGCTGGCTTGCTCGTCTACGGTTGTTGTTGTCGCTGTCGTTGTCGCTGCTGTTGTTGTCGGTGGCTCACTGTACTCGGTTGTGGTGCTGACCTCTGTCGTAGTTGGCAAACTGCTATCCCCACTGCCAGCGGTGGCTGAGGCATCGCTGTCGTCCGGCTCCTCGAACTGCTGCTCCACTTCCGCTGGCCGCCTGGCCGGCGTGCTCAGCAGCAGCAGCTTAGCCGACTTCATTTGACCCACACTCAGGTCACCGTCGACGGTGCCGGGCGCAGGATCAACACTAGCCCAACCAATTTTCACGGTGGCATCCTTGTCGCGACTTTGGGCCACCGATGCGGTCGTTACTTCTGGCTCCACCGTGGTGCTGGCCTCCACGGCGTCGGCTGGCCCGCTGCTTATTGTGGTTGCCTCCTCCTGCGCCTCGGGCCGAATGACAGCCGTCCGTACGCTGGCACCCATGCACAGCAGCAGCAACAGCGCCAGCCCAACGCCGTAACCGTATCCGTATCCGTGTCCTTTCCGCATATTTTTTTCGTTTTTCGCTGCTCTTCAAGTTTTATTCACACTCTTTAGCTGTAGTACTAAGCGCTGACATTTTCCAGCCGAGCGTATTTATAGCTGCTCAACTAATTCTAGCGGCCAACGCCCGTTTATCCATGCCCAATCTCAGGCACCTGTCATAATTTCAGCCCTGAAGCATTTAAAGCGACGCGCTGCTTCCGCATGCTGTCCAAGCCGGAAATGTAATTCCCTGTGTGTGCGTCTGTGTGACTCTGTGTGTGTGTGTGTGTGCGGTTGGCTGCTCTGGCCAGTGTCTCAGTCGTGGTCATCGTGTCAACGTGGAGGCCAAAAGGCGGACATCGCTCGCTACACCTTAAACCTGCCCGTTGACCGCAATGATGGTCACAGAGTCAGCCCCAAAATCGCTTTACATATTCCCCCACCAGCCCCACTCCGCTGCCCCTAGCCCGGCTTTAACAACATGTACTTGTGCTCGCTGTTGTTGTTGCTGCTGCTGCTGCTGCTGCTGCATGTTTGCCAGCAGTCGATTTGAGCTTGTGTTGGTGATGAGCAAAGTTTGCGGCTGACCAGTGCCAGTTGTTGGGCATGCCGGGCACGTACACTTGGTGACTTTGTTTTCGTCTTAAATGCGAATTGGGAAAATTGAAATAAATAGCCGCATGTTCTCATACTCGTAGTCGGTCCCATACACTGCGTACATACGTATGTATATCTATTGGTATGTAACTTATAAACGTCTCACAGGCCATCAGCAGCAGCTCAATAACGGCAGAGAAGCCAGCAGCACCTAAAGCACTTTAATGTGGAAGGTAAAATGTGCTGCTCCACTTGGTTAGTAAAATAGCAATAAATTTAAGCATAACGTTATTGAGTATAATAGAAATTATTAAACTATTAATTATATAATATTTATCATGAAAGTAAAACGTATCACTGAAATAAACGAAATAGGAAAAAATAATGAAAAAAGAGAGAAAAATAAACACACGCAAAAATAATAGACACCTTTTACTTTGATTTACTATTTCATACTATAAACCGTAATGGAAAATAAAACAAAAATTATGAATGAACTGGAATTTTCTAAAGCCTTATTATACATAAAGGTAAAAAAAAAACTATTCATATAAAACTTGTAGTCAGAGCTTAAAATAATGTTAAGTAAGACTAGAAAAGTAATTTTAGACATTTTAAGCATAAATTATTTACGAAATTTTACATTGGAAGCAAAGTAATCATATACAAATATTCATTTGAACTGGAAAGTAGTATTTTTTATTTATTGTTTATTTATTTTTATGCAGGTTAAAAAAGTAATTCGAAGCATTTCAGAAATTATGTATACAATTTTTTTGCCAGCTCCTTTCGTTTATGTAAATTAACATTAAGTAAAATAGTCGAGTACTTAATATTCCATCAGGTAAAATAATGGGGCAGAGCTTACTGGACAGGAAAAATAATTTTTACATAGTAAACTGCAATCAGAGCATAAAAAGAAGAAAATAAGAGTTAAGATTCATTTTCTGTTAAGCAGGCGAGTCTCGAAGCAACTTTAAGCATTTAATAATAAATGTAAAAAATGTTTGCTTTTGAATAACTTACTGACAGACCAGCTGCTATCATCAATCAGCAGCTTCCTTTAAATGAAAATGAAATTAAGTCTCTTGAAGTGCCGTTTACAGACAACAAAATGCGCTGAGGCGCGCCTTGGATAAAATTGTAATTCCTATTGAAATGATAATGGGGTGGAGATTGCTAGATTGGCAAACTAAGATATGAGATAGAGTACAAAAGCTATGAATGACTTATGGACACTCTTAAGCAGGCGGAGCTGATGACTAGAACAGCTATTCGAAAAGCTGAGCCCTATTCAGTCTAGCTTGAATTATCAATCAAAATATATTTATATTTAATAAAATGGTGTTGGGTGTAGATAATCTGCATTGAATTTTAGAAAACCTCTTCTCTTTGCCTTTGTGAATTATATTATACAGCCATATCCGAGTATACTTCCTATCATCAATCAGCAGCTTGCTTTAAATTGAAATTTATAAAAATCTCCTTAAATGTCATACGCAGTCATCAAAAATCGATTATCGCAATCGCTGAAACACGCTGCAAATAAAATTTAATATTCCTGTCTCTTAATCAATAAAAAGTTAAGAGGAAGTTAAAAATCTGTAGCTTCGAAAAGTTTGCAATCAACAGCGTGCGCTGAAGCTGTAACCGAGAGAAATTGTTATTAAGATAATTATTGCCTCTGCCTGCAGAACTTTAAGTAATTCCCAAATGAACAAAGTTTAAATAAAGTTTGCATGGTTAAGGTAAGCCAGGTTGCTCAGGATGCTGATGATGAAGCAGGAATGCCCTTAATGTAGCTGACTTGCTGACTTTTTGTGGTTTATGGCTTACTGTAGCTGCTGCTTATCAGAAAACTTATGTAGGGCAGGGCTAGAAAAATATGAAATGTCAACTAGACTGACTTTTGGACTCCATGAACTGGTCGCATCTGATTCATCTCCGATTGACAGATTAACTGTATGAATACTCAACATAAATAGAGATAAATATTGAAAGGAAATTAAGTAAATAAAGACATGTGTATACATATGTATGTACAAAAATATGCATATAATATGAATATGCTTTTATAAAAATAAATATTTGTGTGTTTTCTTTAAAGTTACATATCATTAAATCATAAGAAACAAAATATATATTTTTGATATTAATATATATATATATATATATATATATATATATATATATATATATATTTGATATATATTTTTGATATTAATAAAAAAATGAAAATTGTAGGAGAATTAGTATTTTGGCCATGTAGCTGCCAAGGCTGGCACGTGCAGGACGTCATCTGGAACAACAATTTTCGCAATCATTATAATCATGACCGCTGTCAGGCATCGCTGTTAAGGTTGTGTGGACCATTATCTCCACCAGCCCCAAATCCATTCAAACCAAACGGTTTTTCCAGTTGATCCAATATTTTTTCGGCAAAGATCTGTGAATTGTTCCCACTCCAAGTGCGGCACCTGTGCTATTTATTCAACTAAACGTAGGCAGCCTCGGAGAGGCATTTATTATATCAGTTTATCAATATATCAATTTAAGCTTAATCTCAGATATTCTTATATAAATTGATAAACAAAGTTGTATTTCCCATTCATAGCTGTAAACCTCTAATAAGAGAAATCACAACATTATATTCTGTTATTTGTATTATGTATATATGTATATTTATATATAAGTTTATTATCGAAGATTCAACACTACTTATGTTAAAAATACATATTGTACGTCTTAAGTTTATGATTCTATGTTGATTTTCTTGGTTGTTGTTGTTTTTGTTGTTGGGACTCTTGATCTGCTCTTTATTTGATTTTTAACGAAATTTCTAATTTCATAAAACGATATGCGATGCTTATATGTGGGTCGAATGCATAATAATTGCATTTAGATCGATCGATGTTGTACAATTAGAGTGGGCTTGGGCTAGGAAATGCCTGAAAGTACTCGTATATGATGAGTTGATAAGTAGGTAATTTGGTATGTAGTATGAGATGAACGAACGAATTCTCCGCTATGCTTTAGGGCCTAATACATCGAGATATGTGTGCTTCGTTTAGATACAGATACAAGATACAATTAGTTAAGTACAATTACGATAATTATTGTTCAACTTGTGTGTGTCTGTGTGTTCAATATATCAATATATCAGATTTGCATTTAGATATTCGTTTTCAAATTGGATTCAATTGTAGCTTTAATTTCTTTGCTTTGTATTTAGATGGTATATATTATCAGTGTGTATATGACACACGTCCGTATAAAATGAATTTACGTCTACTTACAATGTAAAAATGTTTTGGTTTGTGCTTGTCGGTATTCGATTTAGTTCTCCCCTCGAAAGATACAACTTTGTCTTGCTTTGTGTTCAGTTTCTGCTAACCTTACAAATAGCCCAATAGCCATCGGGAAGCACATAATGCTCACTCGCCATCGCCATCTGCTGCTGGCCGGGTAATCCTCTCAAGCGAACAAATCTCTTAATACTTCAATGAAAACTGTTAAATTCACTCTCTTCGTCTACAGAGCATAATATTTATATAAAATTAAAAAATGTAATTGATTTATTCTGTTTTGGTTTTGGTTTTTAGATATTTCCAAATCATTCCCTCTGATGCTTGCTGGGAGCAGCTGCTCCGACTGGCCAAGGCCTCCTAGGCAATATTGTGCACCTTCGCCGACAGGCAATTGTGCACCACGAATACTACGGGCTTTGGACAGCACTCCATGTCCAGTTCCTGCAATAGGGGAATATGAGTTCAAATGTTTCATTCACAATAATTTGCAGTCACTCACGATTTCGCCATCCTCGCCAAAGTCCAAATACAACATGCGGGCGCCATCGTCCGCCGATCCTTTCAACTTGTCGAAGGCGAACTGCCAGAGCTGCGTCTTGGTGGTCGCCGACGCCGCTGTGGGCGTGGACGAGGCGAAGCCGCCGCAATCGTACAAGAAGAAGCCGCGATTTATGTGCACAACCAATTGACACTGCCTGCCCTGGTAGAGGCAGCGAAAGGAGAACTCCCGCTGCAAATTGACCGCCTGGTGGGAGCCCTGGACCAGAGCACGCGCCCACGCAGCCATGTCCCGGTGCGTCTCCGAGCGCAGCCAATAGACCAGGACGCCCCGCGCCGTGCCGCAGCGCACGCAAAACACCGTTGTCTGCTGGCCCTGTTGTTGGAGGTGAGGTTGCAAGATATAATTCATTAGATCATCAGCTCTCTCTCTCTTTCTGTCTACCACTTCATCTCGGTCTCTGTCTACTCACATTTAGGGATGAGTTGTTGCCAGCGCCGGCCAGGCGGGTGGTGGCCAGCGCATAGCTCTCCAGGGGACGACTCCAGGCTTCCACGGACCAGGGCGCGCTCTCGTAGACCCGGAACTCCCGCTCGGTGACTGCCACGAAAATCGGCAGCCATTTGTCGCTCTCGTCAGAGCTCTCCGAGCTGGAGCGTCCGCTCGGCTGAGGAATTATAAAT